TTTCCATATGTGTGTAATCCTCCTTTATACCCAATTAACTGATTACCTCAGTAGTGTCCTTAAAGAGAGAGTTCCTATGTTTCACGCAAAAAAAAAGTTACTTTTTAATTTTTGTTGCATGTTAATTTCATTCACTGGCTTGTTTGTTCTTTTATCACAGGAGGTTCCCAATAAGACACCTCTCTACTTTTCTTTTGTATACCTGTATTCTATCCCGACTCCTCTTACACATCTTCTTTCCAAATTGCTATAAATTTCTCCTTTGTCATTTTCATCTCCAAGTATGGCTGTTCTCAATTGTTTCAGAGTATTTACAAAACGTTTACATTTTATTTTTTGTTTTCCTGTTTTCAGTCAAGAGACATAAACCTGGACCTTGTAAATGTCCATTACATCCACTGTGGTGTTAACTGCTTAAGCATTTCTAACTTCAGAACCATATGGAATCCCATACAATTTTTGTCGGCATTGAAGGTTTATACCTTTCCCTAATCTTTTGATGAGAAAAAATTCACAAATAACCATTACTTTTAAATGTAATTCTACCAAAATTGGGTTTTACATATTTTTTTTATTTTGAATGTTGCCACTATGCTTCTGACTGTGAAGTTTCATGATTGCAAGGAGCTATTTCAGTGTTTGTTTTCCATAGGAAAATGCAGTTTCTGAACAATCTGGAGTGAGTTAGGAGAGTTAAATGTTAATCATTCCAATGTGGTGTGATATCAATCCAGCTGTTAATCTTTTGTAACATTTTACCTTGCATGAAAGACCTTTAGATATATTTTGAAAGGATGATTAGGGTTTTTATGAAAATATTTTAAAGACTAACACATGTGTAATGCTGTGATTTACTTCAGTAATCCTTTTCTAAATAAGCTACAGGATACATTTACACACTAGCATCTGCAAATAAATGAATTATTTTTAAACATTGTGTACATGTATTATTTAACATAAAATATTGCGCATAATTGTGTATGTTTAGGGAGGTCCATGTTTTACAGTGTTTTGCAGGTGCAACTCCTATTGTTGGATTTTGTACTGGTGTAACAAAGAATAGTATTTTACCCACTGTGTGTGTGTGTGTGTGTGTGTGTGTGTGTGTGTATATATATATATGAAATTATTATAGATGCTGCAGATAACAATGCATATAGTTAAGGTTGACTGATACTTCCCATTATAAAACCCTGTTTTCAGTTGGTCATAATTTTGCCAAATTTAACCATATGGGCTAAATGCCAAGTGTCTACCTCAGGCTGAATATTTTTGGAAAGTTTCAGCAAAAATGGTTTAGTCATTACTGAGAACCAGGTTAAGGGGGAAAGACCTTATTTTGCCCATGTTAAAAAAAAATCTTATAGCTGTTAGGTTGTGAAACTCTGTGACCTCCATGTTTTGGAGCAGGGACTTGAAAATTCGCAGGGGGGTTGTCTCTGTGGCAGGGATGTACCCTTTGCTGTTCATCTGAACAAGTCCCAAATTTGGCAAAGTTATTAGCTTTTGATTATTACCCAAAATTAGTGAACACATTTTATATTCACTTCTCTGTGCTTCAATTTCTCCTCATTAAAATAGGGATAATACTACCACCTCACCTGACAAGTGTATTTTGAAAACAAATTCATACATGTTTGTGAAGTACTCAGATACTATAATGAGGAAAATTAATAATTCTTTCTTTAGAGCAGGATTTGAATAATAATCAGTAAATAAGGCCTGGCCCACACATTGAACAAGCAAGATATAACAAAATATAGAATAGCTTCTCGTTCAGTGAGTACTGGCCATCCTGTTCAGTGAATGAGGCAGAGGTACTGTGAACAAAATAGTATGTGATCATGGAATTAAAAAGTGTATTATAGTATGCACAAACGGGGTAAATTAAGGTTAAACAGGCAGCCTTAAGTATGGCTTTTCCTAACTTTTGAGTGCTTGACTTCGACCTCATTGTTCTTTTAATGTATTTTTAAATGCACAAAATGAGTGTATGGATTCTGTTTATTTTACACCCTCATTAATGGGTCATAGAGTCCTGGAGAATTTTTCAGAATACATTGTGTTTTACTCTTGAAGTCAGTAGGAGTTTTGCCTGAATAAAATACCTTTTTTTGGTCGAAGACACCCATTGAACATAGTAATACATTTAATAATAGTCACTTTGAAAAAGAAATAGATTTCATGAAAGAGCAGTATTCACTACTTAGTTCATAATAATAAGTCAGACCACAATGAAATAATGAAATAAAATTCTTAAGGTAACTAAAAGAGTAGGATTTTGTGCCAGAGTCAGAAATGTTTGTATACCAGGGTCTTGACTCAGGAGCTAACTCAGCACCCTGTCACTCAACTCCCCACCAGGTTATATTAATTGAAAGACAGGCAGTTGGAAGAGAAGCCCAGTTAGCTGCGTGGAGATACAACTGAAGGTCTAATTGGATGGAAGCATCCCCAGTGGGTAGGACTATATAAGCAAAAAGGAAGGAAGAGCTACAGGAGAGGAGGAGCCTGAAGGAAGAGAGAAGGAGGCAGGATTGGCTGCTACTGCTAGTGTACTCTTTCCCAGAAGCAAGTGGGGAAGAAGGCTATGGATTGTAAATATAAAATATAACAAAACACGGTGGTGGTTGAGAAGAGCTGGAGTAGTTGTGGTCTGAGATTAAGGCTGAAAAGGACTCTCAGGGCCTGAGCGTGCTTAAGAAGTTGTTTCTACAGTGCTGTGTTTAGTAGATAACGTTGCATGAAACATTCTGTCGTTCACATAACTTACCTATGCGAACCTTAGTAAAAATCTCACTTCCTACAAAATGTTATTGCGAGCTCTCACTGTAGATTAGTATATTTATACCATTTCCATTCATAACTATTGCCCTTTGAATTAAATTTTGTTTAGAATTACTATGTTTATCCTGTGGAGACAGAAGTCAACCTTCCATGCTAACATCTGGATTTGCTATCTTATAATTATACTGTCCTTACATAAGCTGAGATGTTACGCTATCAGTTAAATGATCTATTAACATACAAATGTAAAATTAAAACTTTTCAGTGAAAAAAGCTAGTCTGTGGTGCATTAATGTGAAACATAAAAATCAGCTCAAAATTTGTGACAAAAACATTCACCCAGAAACCCCCTTTTCAACTTTCATTTTAGGCAGAAAAAAAGTAGAGGCAGTTTGTTCTAGGCTGACTTTGTGTCACACAGACTGAATGCTTGCATGAAGAGATTCAAAGGTGTAAGACTTCCAGAACATTATCTGGAGGTATTTTGGTTCTAGTCTTTTCTCCATAAACCTGCTTGATTCCAGTTTAAAGTAGGTGGGAGTTACACTGAGAAGATGATAGGCTATGCAGCACAGTGCAAAGATAGTGTATGTGTGGTTTTCAGATTGTGGGAGGATGTGTGTGAGCCTGATTGTCATAGCAGATCCCTTACTAGATGGCCAGGGAGAGCTGTTGGCAGGTATTACAAGTGGGTCCGTTTACTCCTCTTATTTGTCTGGATTGTGAGGAAAGCTGCAGGCTACTCCAGAGAGAGCAAAGGTAGTTATACAGGATGAGGGAGGAGGGAATGTACATACATTTCATTTTTCCCCCTGAGGCAGATAACAAGAAAAATGTTTAAAACCAAATGTTACCATTCATTTTGTTTGATCTTACACATGTGATGCAAATAAATAATTGCCCTGTTCAGTAGCTACATATTTGAAGTGCTGAGGGCTTAAAATACCAAGCATTATGTACTTTAATTAAATTCTATAGAATTGTTTCTGAGACCGAAAACAATACATAGATATAAAATGATATAGATAATTAATATAAACTACTGAACATTTTATGCCATTTGCATATTTGTAGTATACTTTACCCATAATCACTATTAGGTATACACATTGTTTACACTGTTTACTCTTCATAGATGTGTGTTGCTTATACACCATATGACTGTTACCTGTATACAGGTTCTATTGTATGTTAGTAGGAAACAATAGTGTGACCAGACATCCCGTTTTTAAAGAGACAGTTCTGTTTTTAAGCCCTCCTGTAGGTGTCCTGACTTTTTCTTAAAAACAGGCAAATTGTCCCATATTTTCTATCTCCCCCACATCAGTACTGGTGGGACCTGCTGCTGGCCAGATCTCTTCTTGCCAGCCACTTGCCCACCAGTGGTGAGTGGGGGGTCCAGTGGCCGACTATGGGGGTTGGTGTGTAAAGCTTGTGGCGGGGTGAAGATGTAGTTCGTGAGGCCGGCCACTCCCCCTGCTGGTCCGTCAGCGCAGCCCCCACTGGGTACTGGCTCCCAGTATGGAGGGTTTCCATGTAAAGGTGATACAGCCTGGAGTTGAAGATCTTTATCCAAATGTGATGCTATTGGGAGGACAGCGTAGCCTCTTGGTCTTGAACAGGCTTGTTCTCTCCTTGTGGCATCCCAGGGAGACAGAAGATAGTGCCATGGAGGCAGCTGATCCATACATATATTTCTGGGGCCTGATCTGGGCCAATATATGGAGCAGATCTTTACTGACATGGATATAGATTGTGGTGTTATCCACTGCTGGGTTTTTTCTATATCTATGCTTAATTCCACAATAATTTAAGTAATATTGGGAAATAACTTAAAAGTGAATCATGCAAAATTCTAGGCTAAAACTATTGTAAACCAGTGTTTTCATGTGGCTGCATACGTGCACGTGGTACATGTGCACAAAGTGCAATACTGGCTAGTGAAAAAGTTTTTAGTTTCAGAACATTTGGATTTTCAGCTCTATTAAAAAGCAACAACTTTTCAAGAAATACTGAGTAGTTCCCACTGCTATAATGTAAATAAATCAAGCATTTCTTTTGAGGGATGTAATCGTCTCCTTTCTGTCCTGAAAGTGAGCACTTGTTAGTCATGAGTGACAATCACTGTATATCAAATGATAGAGGTGTGTGTGTTTGTGTATTAAAAATATATAAGAAAATTATTAATCTAAATGATATAATTTTTGTAACAGATAAAGAACAATGGTGAAATGCTTATTAAAAATGTACAGCTGCAGCATGCTGGAAGATACACGTGCACAGCACAGACAATTGTTGACAACTCCTCAGCTTCAGCTGACCTTGTTGTAAGAGGTAAGATTTTTCAAGCTAAAATAATTAGATATTTTGCTATCTCTCATGTAGGTTAGCAGAGTGGTGGGAGTTGTTTTTTCTTCATTAAATCCACTTTATTTCTCATCAAGAATTGATGGGGATTAAAATTAGGAGGAAATTAATATTTGAACACCTTACAATCTACTCATGATTGTTATTCCGGAAGATATTTAAATGTGTGTGTTCTGTTAGTATATCCAGTGTGCTTCTAATGCATTTCCTGTATAAGAATAAAGATTCATTATCATGTTTTTTTCCTGATATAATATTTTTTAGACAACTTAATTTGGTGTTCACTTTTATATAACGAAACTTCTCAAACTAGAGTGAGGAAATGTCATTCCTGTTTGTCTACTAAATTTTGAAACAGACATTCATAATGTTTCACTGAATTGTATATTGTGCATGTAACTAAACATTACAATAAAAGTCCTGCTGATGTTTAAATTATTGAAACAAGGAAATTTGGAGTGAAGGCTATCACTCCATCATTAACTCATCCCTCTGTCCCTAAGTATTGCCGTTGTCTCAGAACAGTGTGCTTGCTCATATGGTAGGTATCTTAAAACATCTGTTACAATGCATAGGTTCAACAGGGTGAATTAATCTGTTTTTTTCTGGCCTTCACATGCAACTTCTCTGCAGACAGCAACAGCATGCTCTGAAGTGCTGATGCTCTGGAATGTCAAAAGTGACATACCTGATGCATGGGGCAGCACAGGCAGTATGTTTTGACCCACTTACCAAGTATGTTAGACAGCAGTATGGTAGTTAAAGGACAGTTTATGCCTTGATTCTGAATTTCCTTCATTTTTAGAGACTGGTAAGTTTTAACATTGTTGTATCTTTTTAAATTTAATTTCCTGTGGTTAATAACAGCAAATGAAGTTTCTTTTGACAATCTAACAGTAGAGTCAGAGCTGTCCCTTGGTACGGTGAATCAAGGTGACCGCCCAGGCCCCGTGCTTTGAGGGGCTCCACGAGCGGGGTGAGGAGGTGAACGGGGAGGCGAGTGGCGGGGGGGGGCAAGGAGGAGCCCCTCTACCAGAACTTCCCCCTTCCTCAGCACCTCCTTCCCGCTGGCGGGCCCAGCCAATCAATTCCTCCCCCTCTCTCTCAGTGCCTACCGCCTGCTGCGGATCAGATGTTTCGCAGCATCAGGAGGTGCTGGGGAGGAGGGGAGAGGAGCGAGGGTGCAGCCGCTCGGGGGAGGGGGCGGAACTAGGCGGGGCGGGGGTGGGAGGAGGCGGGGTGGGGTCTTGGGGGGAAAGGGGGGGGTGGGGGGGGGGCCTGGGCAGAGCCGGGGGGAGCACCTATGTCCCGGGCCCCACACCTCCCTTAGGGACAGCCCTGAGTAGAGTAGATATCATTTCAACTGGATGAATATACTGACATTACAGAAGACTCCTTTGGAAGGAAAGGAATAGTCCATTTATATGGCTTAATATAATGAAAATAGTAAGCAACACTTTTTTTTAAATAAGAGAATATCCTGTTGGATATATTTCTCCTTCAAACCCAGTATGTGGGGAGTAGAATTATTACCATTCACATAGTGAAATACTATGAAAGACACGACCACCAGTGTTGCATTCGTTGTACAGGTTCTACAGGATTGCGTGGTCCCCTCCCCCATTGACATCAGCGAGACTCTGGGAGTGCTCAACACTTAGCAGATGGTGCTCAACACCGAGCCATGTCTGGCCAATGTGATGAAAGTGGCATTGTCACTACAGTGTCAGTGGAGAAGCATGGCAATAAAACAGTCCACAGATCAGTGATAATACAGAGCCAGGTGAAATGGGATACATGTCTCATAGATGAAGTATTAGAACAAAAGCCACTGTACATGGAATCTCCTCTAAATGTTTTCCCTTTCCCACAAACAATACATCCATTTATCTGGATTAATGTTACATCCCTTCTGACATCACAGTTAGGATAATGGAACTGCTGAGGTGATCAGGAGATATGATGATGTCAATAGGGGTTTTACAGTGTTCTGAAGACCATACCATTGAATCAGGTCTCTGAATGGTTTAACACTGAATCGCACAGGTGACAAAGGCACCCCATAAAAGGTACCAAAGAAGAGGGCCTTGGGGCAGATGCATCTTCTCCCAGCACCACTGATTGAAAGAGTTCCATAAAAACAAATGGAACCAGTGTAGAACAATCCTGTCCAGCTTAGTCTGTGCAGTTGGGCTAGCAGAACATTGTAATCACTCATGTCAAAAGCAGATGATCGATCTAGCAGTATCAATAGGGAGAGTTGTTTGGCATCAGTCGTCACAAACAGGGCCATCTCTGTGCCATGCCACAGTCAGGAACCAGAAACTCTGAACTTATTCAGCTGATGACCTTTTCAGTCACCTTCTCTTGGAAAGGATGGTTCAAGGTATGTCTTTGTTGTCAAGAGATGGACTTTTAACAAAAGTTGAAGACTGGCTATCTAGTGCTGTGCTCGCCCTAAGGGATCCATTGATCCAAATGGGTTAGCGCTTTACTCTTGGCTTTTACAAGTGACAGACAGAGATCATGGACCTGAGCCCTAAGGACCCTGCATATGTTTTAGGATGAGATACCAAATCAAACCAGTATAGCAAAAATATTTGTCCCTTCCAGCTTCACTTCTGCTTTCCAGGTGTAAGAGAGACTGGGTATAACATTAATACATTATTTTGGTGACCACGTTGTATTTCTCACAGCATACAACTGATGACTGTTTCTGATAACCTAGACTGTTCACCGCCCTAAACATTTTGGCCCAATGAAAATGAATCTTTGCCAAATCAAAAGTAGAGCTAAAGTTTGTTCCCCCAAGTTGAGCTATAAACCATGGAGAATGTCAAAAAGGAAAAATAATTATCATAGTTTCCAAATAATGCAGTTTAATGTTGATAGCTAATAGAGAGGCACAAATGAGGTTTTGTTTTTAATTGTATCAGGTCTCTGAATGGTTTAACACTGAATCGCACAGGTGACAAAGGCACCCCATAAAAGGTACCAAAGAAGAGGGCCTTGGGGCAGATGCAGTTTTCAAGGTATCTAGGAAAAAGAACTGTATTCAGTTCTGTGTAGGGTTTGGAAAATTTGCCTGCCATTATACTGGAGATGTTTAATAGTTGTTATTAGGTTATTTTGTTCAGGCTTACTGCTATAGTATTCATTTAAGACCAGATTTACACAGGTATTTAAGCACCTCAAGATACAGATCGGCACCGAGAGAGATTTACAAAAGCACATCATTCTATAAATGAGAAAAATTTTCTTTCAAGGAAATTATTATTTTAGTTATAAGATGTAAACTTTCAAAGCCAACAACATACAGTAATTATAAAATAGAAGATAAATACAATTTTTAAAATAACGTATGTAAGCAGTTTTAGGATGGGAAAAAAGTGCTACAAAACAAAATATTCTTTCCAGATTCTGTTTAAAGGACCCTATATTTATGAAACCATTGCTGACTCAGTTTAAAAAGAAACAATTACTGTACTTAAAATATTTTTAGATTGCTATTTTAAGCTCTGTATTAAAGAAAGCTGTGGAACAGGAAGAATTCTTAGAAAAATGCTGTTGTCTCAACCATTACATAAAAAAAACATTGTAAGGTGTCTATCAAGCAGTGCATATATTAAGTTCAAGTCAATGAGACTTTAGCAATATTTATACGTCTTCTCATGCTTATAAAGTGTAAGAAAAAGACAGACCTCTTAGGCATCTGTCATAGGTGGGTACAGTTCACCCAGAATGGGGCTACACACTGTTTGGGGGCTTTTGATATCAACACATCAAAGATTGTGAGGCACTCGGATGCTCCGGTAATGGAACCACAAAAGTACCATAGATAGATCCCCTGTGTCTATTTGCATTACGGTCCAGTGCTAGAATGAAATCCTGGCCCTGCTGAAGTAAATGGGACTGCAGTGGGGCCAATATGTCACCCCTGATTTGGTGTCAGGTTGCTATGTAGCATGATGTGATTCTATCTCTGTCATCTCTTCCCTTTCTCTCAAAGTCAGTCAGACACAGTTTTTTTCTGCAGCACTTTATGATGAAGTATCTTTTAAGATTCCTGATAATTTAAGGAAATATCTTTTTCACATTTCCTTGTGTCTGAGACACAGGAGTAGAAAGTCTCCCTGTCGCAGTCTCTCCTTTGTCACACTCTTGGCTACACAGTCACTTGTCTGTGGGTTTAGACTTTGCCTTGAGCCTTCCAATTTCCACCTTATGATCCCTGCTTCTGAATTTGGGGAGACTCTGCTAGCATAATATTTCTGTGCTATGATTTGTATCAGTTTAGCTTGTTCCTAGTTTTAATTTGTTCTTCCCAATGACTCATGTATTGTTATTTTATATTCTGGTCTAGCTTCCTAAGTACTTTTCAGATTGGGGTAGTATTGTTTGCTCCACAGGTCAGGGTGGAAAAGTTTTTGAGACCAGGGAGCAATGATCTATAGGAGTGGATTGTGTTTTCATATGAGACAAGTTCTAAATACTCTTGTACTTTGCAGAAGAGTGAGTGAGAACTTCTTTGGCGGAGAGGTCACTAAATATTCTTTGGTGTATGTTGGTTAGCAGAGGGAAATGACCCAGATCTGGTCTGCAGCTGTTGTTCCTGGAGTTCCTATGCACATGGAGTATTTGTAGAACTTCAAAAGTAGAGTTTCTGTTAAGGGTTTTATCCCAGTCAATGTAATCAATTGCTGAAGTTGGACCCCAGATTTCACTTCCATACAGAAATTGGATCATGCTGGTGAACAAATTTAGCTAATTTTCCTGGGGGTGGGATCTTTCGTGCAGTACCTTAATGGCATAGAATACCCACAATTCCTTGGTGGCCAGTCTGAAGCTCTCTGCTGCATTTATTATGTCTAACTTAATGTACGCCGACAGACCCCGGTCGTCGGTGGGCGGGATCAAATCTGGGGCCTCTGGAGCTTAGTGCGTGAGCCTCTACTGCATGAGCTAAAAGCCAATTGCCTGTTAGCTAAGGCTGTAGAGCAGACTCATTTTCTCTCTTTCTCTCTAAGTGGTTTCGGTGCCACTAGATGGGACTGGGGTTTGTTTAGGGTTTTTTTCTGAAATATCTTGATTTTTATTTTTTCCAGGTTTATCTGTAGTCTTGTAGTAGGTTTGTAGAAGATGTCCATTTCTCTGGAGATCTTCTTCCATAGGTGATAGTATGATGAAGTCATCAGCATACAGCGGGCATTTTATTTCTGAGTGATTAGTGGGAGGTTAGATTCAGGTCTGTAATATCATAAGTTATTTCTGCGTCTTTGTTAAAATTGGTCAATAATTGGTTTATTTATGAGATTTCTCTTGTTTTCAAATCAAAATAAATTATAAAGAGGCTATCACTGCATTTGCTAGGAGCCTGGTAGTTTCCAGGTCTGCACAGTAAAGAGAGACTAGTCTCCTTATTCTTCTGAAGATACCATGTGACATGTTCAGTCACATTTGCTGTAATCTGCTGAAAGATTGTTGGAGTAATTCATTGAATCATAGATGAGATTTGACAAGCTGTTAATCATGGAAAGGGAATCAGCAAGTCTCATTTTAGCGGTTGTAATACATTGCCTCTGCTTTTCTTACTTCACTGATTTTTTCTTGTAATTCGATCCTAATGTCCAAGGCAAATGCAAGCAGGATAAAATAAATTGTATGAAATGACCCGCAAGCAAAATTCGCAAACAGGTGCCAAAGCTGATGATCACAGAGCTATCGGGCAAGGAGTTTATTTTTAGCATGGACTTCTGACTTTCATAGTGTCTTTTACAGATCAAGATTCCTACACATACACACACACACACACACACACACACACACACACACACACATACACGTTGCATCACTGTCCTCTGTTTTACTCTAGTCTAGACTGCTAAGAGTCCTAGTCACCTGTGGTTGTTGACCTGTATGTTCCAGGTAGCCATGCAGTTCTCTTCTTGGAGTTGAGTAAGGCATGGCACAACACATGTATCTTATGTTGCTTGAGTTTTATGAACCAATTGGGGGAGTAAAGGAGTGCTTTCATAATAACAGTAAGTACCCTGTAAAATGTAGGCTTGGGAAAAAATGCTGTTCACTTTAGCAGATATTATCATGTCCTCAGTTCACGAGTCTGTTGTTTTGGGATAAGACCATCCAAGTTTTAGGTGGAATTTAGAAAGGATCATGAATAGCTATAACTCTTAGTATCTTTTAGATGCAAATGCAGAAATCAGCTAAATCATTTTATGAAGGTTATAAAGACGTGATTGTAATTGCCCATTCTTCAAGCAGTTCTTAAGGGAATGTGAGAATAGAAATCATATATAGTGGTTAAATAGATTATAATACATTAGTTAGGAAACCCTTTCTTTTTAAAAGTATAATTTAATCTGTAAATTGCCAAATGTGCTTTTCAGGTCCTCCAGGTCCCCCTGGGGGTTTGAGAATAGAAGATATTAAAGATACTTCTGTAACACTTACTTGGAGTCGTGGGACAGACAATCATAGCCCTATTTCAAAGTACACTATCCAGTCAAAGACTTTTCTTTCTGAGGAGTGGAAAGATGCCAAAACAGGTAAGGGTAGTATTAGAACTAATAAAATCAATAGATTAACTTTTGACTCATCTTACATGTGCTTAATTTTATACATTCCTTTCTGGATGACTAACAATGTGCGAAGTTGAGTACATAAGCCTTTCCAGGATCATGGCCTTATTCTTTAGAAAATATTTTATGCCAAAATACATTTCTTCAGAAAATCTGCTTATCTTAAACCCTTCTAAATTCTGGCAGTTATTATGAGCCAATCACATGCAGAGATTCTGCCCAACAAGTAAGTAGTGCAGATTCTCAACCATGAAAATTTCTTTCCCACTCAGCATATTTAATTTTTGAATAATTTATTCTGGGTAATATTACCATATGGTCTATAGAATTAACATTTCATTCCTTTTGTTATGCCTAATTACACTCCTTTAATCAAATGGAACATCTAAAATCTTTTCCTTGAGAATTAGGTCACCACAAATTGATCTTTTGACTGTCAAATATAGTAGAATTTTAATAGTTCAATTATTACTTTTCATCTAAGTTATGCTTTGATACCACAGCGATAGATGCTTTAGAAACATACCCAGCTTTATTGACCCCTAAATCCCATTATCAGTGGGAGTGCAAGCATTGCAGGACCAGGCCTATTCTAGAATGTATAGTAATATTTGTTGTTGTATATTATTTTAACAATAAATATTAGTATATTTGTCTTACCTTGCCATTCCCCTTTTCACCAGTTCACCCACAAACTCATTCAACATTGACTCCCCTCCCAGCTAGGGACCTTTCAAATCCCTCAGCTTCCTCCAAACCAAGGTGCTAACTTCTAATCATATTATATGTTCCATTCCTGGATAGTTGACGGATCTTTCCATCTATGCCTGGCTAGCCCATTGGCACTTACTCAACTTTGTATTTAACTTTCATAACTATGAGTGAAATTCCAGGATTATGAGCTTCAAAAGCATTGTATTGTTACATGAAATGTAGCTGCATTCCAGCTTTCTCAGTGCATTATTCTATAGGAAAAATATCCAGATGTCACAAGGTCCAGTATGCAATTATTAAGGCTACCTTCACCACTCGTCCACTTGCAATTGCAATTTGTGATCTTGTAAAAGTTTATCCCAGATAATCTCATAAATTTCAATTTCTCATTCTCTGGCAGAACTCCTTGTACAAAAAAGAGATCCCGTTTTATAATGTAGTAATGTAGTATTCGTCTAGGTGGCTGATTACAAACCGAGAGGAGGGGTAAACTACAGAAACTGTAACCAGATTACTCTTTCAGCTCACTGCAAAATGCTCCTTTCTAAGCAGTCTCTTGTTTCATTTAGATCCCCCAAACATTGAAGGAAATATGGAGACTGCAAAGGTGATTGATTTAATCCCATGGATGGAGTATGAATTCCGGATTACAGCAATGAATACTTTGGGGACAGGAGAACCTAGTATGCCATCACAAAGAATTAGAACAGAAGGAGCTGGTACGTAGACACAGATTGTCAAGATATCTTAAAATGCTTAAATGTTCTTTTTATTTTTCTACATTTTCATTAATTTTGGTAGAGGCAGAGTGCAAAAAAGCACTTAAGTCCAAATAGAATGGCGTAACTAGTCGTAATTGACTGTAGTGAATAATTATCAGATATCCTAGTGTGCTAACCGCAAAGTAGGCAACAAAATGAGCAGTCTTGACACCAAATGATAAATTTACACTGTCTTTAGTGACTGCTGTTCTTTACTAGCTCACTGCCATGGCTAGCCATGATCCCAAAGTCTGGAGAAGATTTTATGGTCTTTCATTCGTATCAGACTAACAAATTTCTTGCTTAGACCATTTAATGGTATCTGTGTGTTTTAAAGACACACTTCCTACAATGAGTTTATCCAAAGACACATGTCCAGTTACTGAGCTCATCTCATCACGTCCGCTAGAGAGCTGGCTTCAATGCACAAGAGCATTTCCCGCCTGTTCAGGTTGCCTCCACAATCTGGCTCAGCCTTGTATTCCTGTTGGCTCTTTCAGTGCTCTCAGATTGTTCTCTTCCTGTTGTCTCCAGCCTGTTGCTTCTCTTCCCATTTATGGCAGACTTCTTGATGTTGCAGCCTATCTGTTGTCCTTCAGATTGCAACCAGTGATGGACCCTCTGAAACTGGTGTGACTACTTGTTCCAGCAGCACTACTTATAAACCAAACCATCCCTCCTGTCTGAGCTGCCGACCCAAGGTTTTATGCCCCCACTCCTGGGTCAGCCTTATATTAGTTACAGAAGGAAGGGTAGGATTTCAGACTACTGAAATATAGACTTTCAACCCACGGCCAACATGAATCACTGGGCCCCATTGGTCTGATTACCCAGTACTTCTTGGTCCAGTAATAAATTCAGAAATAGAGAATGAGAGGATAAAAGTCACTCCCAGTTGTTACTGGTGGCTAGAGGGAAATTCTTGACAAGGAAGGAGGCCCTATTGCAGTACATTAGCTGTTGTCCAGTAGTAGTGAGAAATTACCCGAACAGAGTTGTGTTATAGCTCTGACACTTGTATCCTCAGTTGTTCTCCAAGAAACACAGACATCATATAGAATGACTTACTCTTTTATTCATGTAGAAAAAATTAAATTAACAAAGAAGAGAAAAACAGCATGAAATTGCATTCATTGGGGTGTTTTCTTCTCCTGCCTTTCAGAGATCCTCTGCAGTATGTTTTAAATTAATTAATTATTGTTTTTGTGCAGGAAGAATATATACATTTTTTTAAATCAGCAAATGTTCATTTGTTTCTTAGCTTGCTGTATTCTAATCATAAGATATGCCAGGATGTGTGTTGTACTGGATAATGCCACTTCCCTGTGATTGAAGGTTTGGTCTTGTGCCTTCTAATGCTGTGTCAAAGGCATGACATTATCCAACACAACACATGCCCCAGTCTGTCTAATTGCTTAATGTTAAGATCTCAGAGCACAGTTAAGCATATCCTGTAGGCTGGGACAGGTACATCATAAAATGAATTCTCCCAAATGAAGAATTAGATGCTGAATATATCATTCAAGATAATATATTCTGTTTTGACTGTCTGAAGGAGATAGCAGCAGTGCTTTTAGAGGTGATATGTCACTGCAAAAAGCTCTATGTCCAACAAGACTTACATATCGCTTTATCCATCTTAACAAATACTAGCTCCACTTTGCAGCCCTGTTCTTTATTATTTTTAGAAGGCTGCTGTCCCATTACTCAAGCTTGAAATATATATTTGGTAAATAGATTAAACGTTTGTCCACTGCAAATTTTGCTAAGAATAATAAAAAGCATAATCACCTTTAGTCTTTTAAAAATTAGATTGTTAGGGAGTAAGGAAGCATTGATTCATCAGGTTAGTGGAGACAGGAAAGAAAAATCCACAGAACTGTAAAACCAAAGTGAAAGGAAATTACTTCCAATAATCTTGGCTATTAGCATCATATGTTTCCTTACTCCACAGCTGCATTTGGACAAGAGCCTAGGGGTCTAAAAAAGAAATGTGCACTTGCTTCTTGGAGTGCTGGCATAACATTAGTATTTTTCTGCTGTTTTGAAGGGAGGGTGGAAACAACCCTCACATGTAGAGGGATTGTGATACTTTACATATATTAATAGCCTTATGCTGGGTTCATGAAACTTCTTTCAGTCTCCTCCCCAATTTAAAGAATGACATGCCCTCTCCTTTTGCATCAGGCCTTTAATATCTTTGGAAGATTTAGTTGGTTGTCTTGCTGCCCATGCAGAATGGAGGACAACTAGGAGCAGCATTTCTGCCTGTGGCAGGTTATGACTGGCACTTTTGGTGAATCTAAACAGACTGTTAATACAGGCATTTATAGAAGTTTTATGGCATCAATCTTGCATGCTTCTTAGAATACAAACCGAAGAGTGTAATGCACTAAAGTGTTAATGGATAGGATCCCCTGTACTGAAGAAAGTGTATTTCTTACCATGAGTTGGCACTTATTAGAGAGAACTGGTGCCATCCCCCATCTGAATTTCCTGCCAAGAATCTCAGGCTAATATGGGAGCAAGACACTATATGTGGCTTTTCAGTTTAATATGTGTTGAATAGGACCCCTAGGGTATTAGGTATTTTCATTGCACAGCTTGGAACCAATGCTAGTATATTTTGATTATCTGATTATAAAGAGCAGCTGCTCAATATGACATAGGATCAAACATTGCTACTAATCTGCTGTGCCATCTGAGTAATGGATAACACATTGCATAAGTTTAACTGTGGTATCTGACAATTGTCAGTGGCACAAACAGCTCTGAACCTTCACTCTTTCTTCCATGTGCACATGGCTTTCATTTTAATGGCTGCTTTTAACTGCATGCTTGTTGTACATGTAATTAAGATAAGTTTAAATTAAAATTTGTTTATTTTGTTCAGTACCACTTAAGTTACATAGTGACTTCTTGGGATTTTCCTATTAGAAGACTAGCTATATATATTTTAGCTACTAGACACTAAAATTCAATAATAAGTCTCTGAAACCAATTAATGTTAGGAAAATGAAGGCTGGGCACTTCTCCATTTACTTGAGTTGTCATGATAAATATATTGCTCCCAGTCATCTCTTGCTTTGCACTTTGGGTGGCCATTTACCCCTGTGCTAAGTGAGCGCAAAGTGGGTGTCAGATGCTACCAGTATGATTTGGGCTGCTTGATCTTTCAAACTTACAGTCATCTCAATGCTAGTTTTTGAATTTCATTTTCTTCCAACGAAATTATCATTTTTAGTCTGATAAGGACTACCAATTGCCTAACTTTTGGAAAGTGTTTTGTAGTCATCATGGCAGAGATGAGTTTCAAGGAACCTTCCTTACCAGGTCCATGGGAGGAAGGAGCCTGCACACCTTAAGAACTACCTAACTTTTACCCCAACTATATTCAGTGGGAATTGAGGGCTGTTAGTGTCACACAAGTGAAAATAAAGGAGTAAATTATAATGGAAACAGTGGGAACTTCCTGTGCAGATTTCTAAATGAAACATAAAAATACAGTGTATACAATCAGAAGTTTAATTTACTTTGAGTACTGGAGCCTTAAATCCCGATCCTCCACCCATTCAGATCAATGGTTGTTTGCCATTAACCTGAATGAGAACAGGTCTAAGGTCCCAGTCCTGTAGAGACTTACCCATGTGCTTAACTCTATGTATAGTGAATAGATCCATTGACGTCAGTGGGCTATTCAAAGAGTGTGTAAAATGAAGCATGTGTTTAAGTCTTTGTTGAATGGAGGCATAAGTCTCTAAAGACCACAGAGTGAGCAGAGATAAGAATAATAAAATGCTTTTCTCCTCAGATCTATGAAGGGCGTGTTCAGTTTCTGAATATCCAATTTAAAAAGTAAAGTGAACATGGATAAAATCAGGAAAGAGTTATTACCAGCCGTGCCTAGTTACCATAAGTGGAGAGAACTGGCACTTTTCCTGTGGCAAAAGCTATACGTTAGTCTTGGCAAGACCACAGACTCTCACAGCTATTACAGGCTATCATTATTGTAATTGTGTGGGCCATATGGGCTCATTGGCACTGCTGGTAAAAAGAAAAAAGTAATTAATGGTTCTTTATTGAATGAGAGCTCTGAAGTCTGAGAAAATGTTGCTTGTCTTTTCTGTTATTCCAGCTCCTAATGTGGCTCCTTCTGATGTTGGAGGAGGGGGTGGAAGTAACCGAGAGCTGACAATAACATGGATGGTGAGTATCAAAATGAAACTGCATTGATTATGTGCTGTGCTGGGTATGCAGCGTCTGATCCTCTTCCCACTGAAGTCAGTGGAAGTTTTGCCATTGACTGCAGAGGGGGCAGGGTTGGGCCCACAGTAAGTAAGTTTGCAGTCTTGTCTTTTGAAATATATAAGAAGGAAGGGAAAATGTGTACTTTTAGATTGTTATTTATTCATCTTTATAAAATATAGCTTTAGGCACCTATCTGATGCTCTGGGCACATATTGCACAGATTAAAACACAGAAGCAGAGTCTACGATACTAGATTAATTTATAGAACTTCAAAAAACAGCATTTGGATTTTACTTAAATTGTACTTTGGATCAAGTATTATTCTAATTTTGAAGCCCACAATCCAAACAGTAAGCAGGTTCACTTAAATGTTTTAACAGCTACACTGCTAGATTTTTTTAGTTTTAATTCTTCTCACATCACACACCTACCTGCAACTGGAGTGGAATGCAGAGTTGGAGAATGACACTGATTGTTAGAAAAGCTTCACAGTAAACAAAGCTTTTTGTAAATTACAGGCACAATAAGTGGTGGCTCCATGATATTCTGTCTTTAGAAAGTCTACTGTAGAAATGTGTAGTATTACTGTTTTCCTTCTGGGGCTGGAGCAATTCTTTGGAAAATTCCACCCACTGGAAAAAAAAAAGCCTTCTGGAAATGCCCAGTCAATGAGAAAGAGAGCCAGAGAGAGAGAGAGAGAAGAGCAAAGGTTGAAAACAGGGAATGAAGAGAAGAAAGGCAAGAAAATGGGAAGAAGGAAAAAATGGAGCAGAAGAGGATAAGAAAGCAGGGGAGAGCAAGATCATATGTAAACTAAAGATGGATGGGATGGAAAGGAGAGCTGAGAAGCTACAGAGGATGAAGTATGGGAAAGAAAAAGAAGTTCCTTCCTTGATACATAGTAAAAGAAAGAGTTGTGGAAGTTTATACTTGCCTCCAGCAATTAGAGGCCACAAATTATACTTTTAAAAAGTAACCAAAGTTATCTTGCTGTCATTGGCCCCCTCTGTTCACTTGCCCAACGTCATATGGAGAGTAGAAAATATATCCTTTGTTTCTTTAGGAATGGTTGATACATCAAATGTAGCTCATACTGTATGTACCTCTACCACTAAGACTGCTTTCTCTTTGATTAATCAGTACATAAAGCCTACTTAGGACTGAAAACATCTACTTTATTGTCCTAGTAAGGATGCTCCTTTAAAAAAATACAGGTTTGTTTCAAAAAGTATGCATATTGCACCTGTGTGTGTGTGTGTGTGTGTGTATGTGGAATGCTGTATTTTAGGGTTACTAAACCTCTTAGGAGGAGTATGTCAAATGTGACAGTTGTAACCAACCACAAATTTGGGAGAAAGGTTTTTTTACTTCAGGTCAAAATATTTTCAACTGTATTTTCAATTATATCTGCAACAGTAGAGATGCATGGGCATGAACTGACTCAGAGACAAGAGCTTTAAGTTTAAAAAAAGGAAACTTCAACATTCTGTAAAAATAGGTTTTCAAGATATCTTTCTCAATGCCAGTAAAAAGTCATTTAGACTCCTATTATTTTCATTTTGTTTTTAATTGTTCTTTGAATAGAGAGAAACAAATAAAAACACATGCGATGCACAGTTGAGCAATGCACATGCAATGCACAGATTAGCTTTAAAATATAGACATACACACTGTTGTCTCAGAGAAAGATTAAGAATGATACACATTGCACTGCATGTAAAGACCTGTATTCATGGCAGTGTTGGCATCAAGGAGACTTGGATAATTGCCAGCTATGACTAAATTTTTAAAAAAATTATAACCAGGAGGATAGTGACTAATGCAAGATCTGAAGTCTAAGATCATTTATTTTTTTCTAATGGCCCCAAATAGATTTATATTCCAATTATTTCACTTAGCTAATGTCAGTTTTTCCAGCAGTTCTGTAATGGGTAGTTCATTTAACCATTCAAACTAAGTGGGCGGAGTTTCTGTTTCTCAGGAATATCCAACTTTCCACTAGCATAACTATCAAGGGATTTTTTTTCTATTAAGGTTAGATTTACTATGCTCACCTGACACAGCACAGATTGACTCAGATAAGGGTATTTGTTCCCAAAAATGTACACACATTTGCATATGCTATTCCAATAATTTCTTAATTAATGGCATGAAAACAGAATACGAGACAGGTTATGGGGCTGCCAACACCTACAGCATTTTCTGATACATAATCTCAGTTTGCATGAGATATTCAGAGATCCAGCCAGAGCTCTTTGAGACCTTGGTTTAAAGGAACTGCAGAGATAGAGGACTAGAAGTGGTCTTCTTTTTGGCCATAGCCTTTCTCCATTTCTCTTCATGGACAGCATGGTTAACTCCCTTTCCCATTCTCCTTTGAGGACTAGAATTGGAGGATACTGCATGGCATTCAGCCATGTATAGTTATTTATTTCAACGTGACATTTATACTGACTATCTAGCCCTTTTCGCTGACTGCAAAAGAGGAACTGGACATACTGAGAAAGAGGGACGATCGATGAGTTATCTTAAGTGCCTATACACAAATGCAAGAAGCCTGGGAAACAAGCAGGGAGAACTGGAAGTCCTGGCACAGTCAGGGAACTACGATGCGATTGGAATAACAGAGACTCGCTGGGATAACTCACATGACTGGAGTACTGTCATGGATGGATATAAACTGATATAAACTGTTCAGGAAGGACAGGCAGGGCAGAAAAGGTGGGGGAGTTGCATTGTATGTAAGAGAGGAGTATGACTGCTCAGAGCTCCGGTTTGAAACTGCAGAAAAACCTGAGAGTCTCTGGATAAAGTTGAGAAGTGTGAGCAACAAGGGTGATATCGTGGTCGGAGTCTGCTATAGACCACCAGACTAGGGGGATGAGGTGGACGAGGCTTTCTTCCGGCAACTAACAGAAGTTGCTAGATCGCAGGCCCTGGTTCTCATGGGAGACTTTAATCACCCTGATATCTGCTGGGAGAGCAATACAGCAGTGCACAGACAATCCAGGAAGTTTTTGGAAAGTGTAGGGGACAATTTCCTGGTGCAAGTGCTGGAGGAACCAACTAGGGGCAGAGCTTTTCTTGACCTGCTGCTCACAAACAGGGAAGAATTAGTAGGGGAAGCAAAAGTGGATGGGAACCTGGGAGGCAGTGACCATGAGATGGTCGAGTTCAGGATCCTGACACAAGGAAGAAAGGAGAGCAGCAGAATACAGACCCTGGACTTCAGAAAAGCAGACTTTGAGTCCCTCAGGGAACAGATGGGCAGGATCCCCTGGGAGAATAACATGAAGGGCAAAGGGGTCCAGGAGAGCTGGCTGTATTTTAAAGAATCCTTATTGAGGTTGCAGGAACAAACCATCCCGATGTGTAGAAAGAATAGTAAATATGGCAGGCGACCAGCTTGGCTAAACAGTGAAATCCTTGCTGATCTTAAACACAAAAAAGAAGCTTACAAGAAGTGGAAGATTGGACAAATGACCAGGGAGGAGTATAAAAATATTGCTCAGGCATGCAGGAGTGAAATCACAAGAAGGCCAAATCACACTTGGAGTTGCAACTAGCAAGAGATGTTAAGAGTAACAAGAAGGGTTTCTTCAGGTATGTTAGCAACAAGAAGAAAGTCAAGGAAAGTGTGGGCCCCTTACTGAATGAGGGAGGCAAACTAGTGACCGAGGATGTGGAAAAAGCTAATGTACTCAATGATTTTTTTGCCTCTGTCTTCACGAACAAGGTCAGCTCCCAGACTGCTGCACTGGGCAGCACAGTATTTGGAGAAGGTGACCAGCCCTCTGTGGAGAAGGAAGTGGTTCGGGACTATTTAGAAAAACTGGAGGAGCACAAGTCCATGGGGCCGGATGCGCTGCATCCAAGGGTGCTAAAGGAGTTGGCGGATGTGATTGCAGAGCCATTGTCCATTATATTTGAAAACTCATGGCGATCGGGGGAGGTCCCTGATGACTGGAAAAAGGCGAATGTAGTGCCCATCTTTAAAAAAGGGAAGAAGGAGGATCCGGGGAACTACAGGCCAGTCAGCCTCACCTCAGTCCCTGGAAAAATCATGGAGCAGGTTCTCAAGGTATCAATTATGAAACACTTAGAGGAGAGGAAAGTGATCAGGAACAGTCAGCATGGATCCACCAAGGGGAAGTCGTGCCTGACTAACCTAATTGCCTTCTATGATAAGATAACTGGCTCTGTGGATGAGGGGAAAGCAGTGGATGTGTTATTCCTTGACTTTAGCAAAGCTTTTGATACGGTCTCCCACAGTATTCTTGCCGCCAAGTTAAAGAAGTATGGGCTGGATGAATGGACTGTAAGATGGATAGAAAGCTGACTAGATCGTCAGGCTCAACGGGTAGTGATCAATGGCTCCATGTCTAGTTGGCAGCCGGTTTCAAGCAGAGTGCCCCAAGGGTCGGTCCTGGGGCCGGTTTTGTTTAATATCTTCATTAATGATCTGGAGGATGGTGTGGACTGCACTCTCAGCAAGTTTGCAGATGACACTAAACTGGGAGGCGTGGTAGATACACTGGAGGGTAGGAATCAGATACAGAGGGACCTAGACAAATTAGAGGATTGGGCCAAAAAAAACCTGATGAGGTTCAACAAGGACAAGTACAGAATCCTGCACTTAGGACAGAAGAATCCTATGCACTGCTACAGACTAGGGACCGAATGGCTAGGTAGCAGTTCTGCAGAAAAGGACCTAGGGGTCACAGTGGATGACAAGCTGGATATGAGTCAACAGTGTGCTCTTGTTGCCAAGAAGGCTAACAGCATTTTGGGCTTTATAAGTAGGGGCATTGCCAGCAGATCGAGGAACGTGATCGTTCCCCTTTATTCGACATTGGAGAGGCCTCATCTGGAGTACTGTCCAGTTTTGGGCCCCACATTACAAGAAGGATGTGGAAAAATTGGAAAGAGTCCAGCGGAGGGCAACAAAAATGATTAGGGATCTGGAGCACATGACTTATGAGGAGAGGCTGAGGGAACTGGGATTGTTTAGTCTCCAGAAGAGAAGAATGAGGGGGGATTTGATAGCTGCTTTCAACTACTTGAAGGGGGGTTCCAAAGAGGATGGAGCTCGGCTGTTCTCAGTGGTGGTAGATGACAGAACAAGGAGCAATGGTCTCAAGTTGCAGTGTGGGAGGTCTAGGTTGGATATTAGGAAACACTATTTCACTAGGTGAAGCACTGGAATGCGTTACCTAGGGAGGTGGTGGAATCTCCTTCCTTAGAGGTTTTTAAGGCCCGGCTTGACAAAGCCCTGGCTGGGATGATTTAATTGGGAATTGGTTCTGCTTTGAGCAGGGGGTTGGACTAGATGACCTCCTGAGGTCCCTTCTAACCCTGATATTCTATGTTTCTATGATTATGATATCAGAGTGGGCATCTGTGTTTGAAGGTAAACACAAAACCCCCCCAAAATTATGAAAGTAGAGAAGGTGGAAGAAGAGCTGTTGATTGACGCTTCAGGAGCAGAAGAAAATTTGTGTACCTGGGAAGTACACTTAGTGCCTTCGGAGAGATCTGTAGAATTGAAAGGAAGAACCCAATGTGAAAAACGGTGGCAGGAGTACTGTGGGACCAGAGATTAAGCAACAAACTGAAGGGGAAAGTGTATGCTGCATGTGTTTGTCCCTGCCTGCTCTATGGTTTGGAAATGGTGTGTCTTACGAAGTTGGAAAAAAAGAAGATACAAATAGTAGAAAATAATATACGGAGGAGAATGGCAGCAAGCAGATGGTAAACAGAGGGGGCATGGAAGGAATAAGGGGGATGATGAATTTGGGACTTCCAGTGATAGATAGGCTGGAGAGTGCACGTGTGAGGTGGGCTGGACATGTAATAAGAATGGGAGAAGAATGAGTAGCAAAGAAAGTGGAAGCAAGCAAGAGGACAGCAAGAAAGAATGTGGAAGACTGAGGATACAAAGGAAAGACTGTGAAGAGTAGTTTGAAGCGAAAAGGACTGGAACTCTAAGACCTACGAACCTGTGCTATGGACTGGAAGAAGTGGTGAAGAATCATCAGCACTTCCAACCCCAAGTACACAGGAAAAGGAGTCGAGAAGTGAAGTGATATATTACTAAAGTTCTTAAAATAACCTACCTGTGGAGAATGCAGTCTCACACTTTCTCTTTCCCATTTGGGGGAAGATGAAGGAATGAAGATCCCATCTGGTCCTGGTTTATTATATCTGAAATGCTACAAGAATGAAGATACAGTACATGCTAACAGCTAACAATGGTAACCCAAGATAGGGAATAAAAAAACAAAGCATGGCACTCTTTCCATGTTTCAGAATTAAAATTTCAAATTTCAGAATCCTCCATAAAATAGAATTTGTGTTTTCTTCCCATTCCATTTAAAACTATTTTTAATTCTAAAAAATCTGAACCAGAGTGTCCATTGAGTGGATGATATAGTAATGCACAGCAGTGTAAAACCTGAAGATAATATATTCCCACTTGTTACACTGCTGCAGGTCCATTGCTCCTCACATAAGCCCTTGCATGGATGTTCTGTGCAGGAGAGACTCTGCTGGGTTTGGAGAGCAAGAAAGGGTGGAGCAGGGGACTACTCTCAAAGACATCAGCCTCTGCTCCGCCTTCAGGTTCACACAGAAATCAAAGAAATGGTAAATAATGCTTGTAGCTCTATTAATCTGAGTCTGCTCCATGTCTGTTGCTGAACAGCCACAGGAAGAACCCAGCCAATGGCAACAGGATCCTGTCTCTTTACATCTAGAATGATAGGAGTCGCTATTTGAGAATCCATGGATGGTGGCCTTGGATAAGTCTTCCAGAAGTGTTACCCCCGATTCAGCCAGAAGCATCACTGATCAGTGACATGAGTAGGGCCCTACAAGGTGCCATAAGGATGATGGATGGTAGTCTATGTGGGTCTGAGGAATGTCTGAAGTCTTTAGGGAGTGAAGTTCTGGCAACATTGATGCTAAAGCAGTTGAATGGATAACACATTACCTGCTCTAACTGAGAATTTGCCATTACCCCTAAGTATGGGAAATAAATCATCATAAGGATATTTGTGATATAATGGCAGGTATGAATCCATTGCTAATTGTCTGTGTTTGGAGCCTGTGATAGACATCTGTGAGTTACACACTCACTCTCTCTGTCCCTCTCTCTCTCTCTCTCTCTCTCTCTCTCTCTCTCTCACACACACACACACACACACACACACACACACACACACACAGTCTATGGTACCTACTCATTGCCACTCATCATTTCTTAAAAAGGTATATTTTGCTGGCTGCAGCTGAATATAGTTTTAAAACAAAATCATCTTAGCCTTCTCTGGTTGGAGACAGCATGACATGCATTTGTGTACTACTGGATCAAAAGCAGAAGTTGGACTTGAATCTTATTATTACCAGATGTAGTCAGTGACGGAGATGGTGTGCTTTTGAAGTGGACAGAACCAAATCAGAGAATGTAATTTCAATGCAATATTTTTGCAATTTATATGTGGATAAATATTTTTAAACTTCTAATTAGTGATCCACTGGTTAACCATAAAATGTTAATTCTTAGTCTTTTGTCTCTTCAGCCTTTGTCAAGAGAGTACCACTTTGGCAAGAATTTTGGTTACATAGTAGCCTTTAAACCATTTGGTGAAAAGGAATGGAGAAGAGTTACAGTTACCAATCCTGATATTGGCCGATATGTGCACAAAGATGATTCTCTGCCCCCCTCAACAAAGTTTCAAGTAAAAGTGAAAGCATTTAACAACAAAGGGGATGGACCATTCAGCCTTGTTGCCATCATTTATTCAGCACAAGATGGTGAGTAAAATTTACATATTAAAATCTACAATAAGGGCCTGATTCAGCACTAACAAAGTCAAGGGGACCAGGGTCAGGGCAAGTGAAATTAACTGCAGCAGGATTCAGCAGGATGTACCTTAATGAGTAGGGTCATTCTTGGCCATCACTCCTGAAGTTCTTACTCAGGCAAAACTCCCATGAGAGTTTGTCTGAGAGTATGGCTATGCTACAGCTGGTAGCATGCTTCTCAGTGCAGGTAGACTGACAGGTGCCAGCTCTGCTTGTGCTAGCATGCTAAAAATAGTAGCGGGGCCATGGGCAGTGGCTTGGGCTAGCTGCCCAAGTACCTACCCAGTGGGCTGCGTGAGATTGTACTTGGACAGCTAGTTTGAGTCCCTGCCTGCACTGCAGCCATACTGCTATTTTTAGCATCTAGTTTAAGCAGAGCTAGTGCATGTCTGTCTATCTGCACTGGGAAGCATGCATGAAGAACTGTAGGACAGTGCCCTTGATGGGCAGAATAGCACTGAACTAACAACCCACAAAGAAATTCACTAAGCAAATACCCATTCTGAACCTTTGTACAACTAGTTAAAAATAAAGGATTTGGGGAATTGAAAAAAAAGTGCCTCCCTCCACATTTGTTGTCTGAAACATGGCATTGTGATACTACAGTAATATTTGGGTCACCCTCACCAATGCAGTATGATTGATGCATACATTGAAAGGTGAATTGTTATGTCTTGCTAAGGAAAACTAGAAAATAAGTACTCAAATTAAATTTTGCTATCTTGTAATACACAGGTGAGTTTTTAGTGAGAATTACTGTCCAAAACTGTCTAGGACAGTTAGTGGCAGAGTATTTCAGATATTTCAGTTAATAAGGTTGATATTCATAATTGAATTAATGGAAGCAAAAATGCTGTTAGTTACACTTTTTACATATGCTTTAGTAGTCGTCAGCTTTATTCTAAAATAAAGTAGTAGTACATGTTTTGCTCGTTAACTGATGGTGGTAAATCCTATCAGTCTTAATATAACAGCTGTAGTATTTAAGCGTACTACTGCAGAGGAATGATTAATTTGGTTAAGTTTTCAAGCCTGTTCAAATTCTAATACTTATTCTTCCATGCTCTTTTATTCCTGTTTAAACATTAAAGCAATCAGGTGAATAATTAAATGAAAACCCTTGACATTTGCCTAAAACCTTTTCCTTAATCCTTGCTGGAATTATTTCAAATTCAGCAATCTGCAGGATTTCAGTTAGAAATGTCATTTCCTATGCTGAGTGGAAGAAAGCATTAGAAAAAGGTAAACCTTAGAGCAGAATAATATAGGTAATAATATGTAACAAAAACATTACACTATAATGTCTGCTGCCAGAAATACAAAGCAGAACTGTAAAGAATTGCTCAAATTTTTCATGTTGCAGAACAGAATCTGCTTCATCAAAGCAGAACTCCAGCTACTGAAATGAGAGCAAGGAGCCAAGAGGTGGGACCAGATAACAAGGCCACATTCTCACACTTCAGACTCCATTCTCATCTCAGTGTACTTTATAGGAGATTTATGCTTGTACCTCCCATTAGCACTAATGGGAACTTTGTATACAAATCGCCCACACAGAGAGAGAGAAACATAGAATAGACCCTTTTGTTTCTTATGATAATTCAGGGTCCACACTAGCAACACTTAGCTAATGTGATTAATACTGATCCTAGTTATCAGAGAAGTGTACCTTAGGATATCATCTTTAACAGCTGCTGCAGAAACAGAATGATTATTGTTGTAGTAGTGTAAATGAATTAATATGTTGCTGATACCCAAATAACATTTCAGTATCCCTTCATTTCTAAGAACAATGTCAACATCTGACTTGTAAGTTTCCAGGCCTGTTAGTGAAGTGCTAAATATATTTCTTCTAGAAAAAAATAACTACTAAAAGCAAAAATTAATAATAGGAACATTAAACATGCACTTGAAATTTAATTGTGTTATATATGTAAACTGCCTATATGATGATAGCAAAATTGTTTGTTTTCTGAGTTCAACTGAGCCATCATGCTCATGTGACCAAACACCTTGGGAGCAGCAAGCAGGTATAGCTCCAGAAAAATCAGAGAAAAGGAAATGAACAGTAGTACTGACTTTTAGAAAATTAAAGAAAAATAATCTTGGTGGTTGCCACCCTATAACTCTAGTCCTAGCAAAATAACTCTGCACCTGCAGAGAGAAACACTAAGCATTCAAGCTCATATTATGCCCATCACAGCCACTAAAGGGGGTTGAGGACACAAAGAAACTACTTCCTCCCTAGAGCACCAGTAAAAGAGGGACCCAAAATTGCGCTGTAGGTGTCAGGGAGCTCCAAACATTGTCTACAGCATTAGCAGCCTCAAAGGAGAATGCATCTGTGCACAGCCATGTCAACCCAGCACATCAATAAGCCAGGGCTGCAGGGTAACCCAACATACACCTTTTGAACAGGTGTAGCAAGAGGCAGTGCACACCATGTGCTCCTGAGACCCGTGCAGGCATTGGAACTTGTATAGTTGTGAAGATTCCCTGTAGCTTTACCCTACACAGAGCCACACAGAGTTTACCCTCTCACTGATCTGAGAGTACCTAATTCCACAAGGTGTCCTTTATAGGATAACTGAACTATGAGCGATAAGCAGCATGTTTCTGGTAAAGAATACATCTTGTGAGGCAAACTGAAATGCTTTTTTATTGCAGAATTGGAAAATGACAAATGGAGTAGATGTCATGTATTTGAACTGTAATGTGAAAATGGACTGTCTGCAAAATACTTAATGTAAATACCAAATAAGAAGCAAAATTAGTATTATTAAAGGGGGCATAAATAAGCTTAAGAGGGTGCAATATGAAAAGTAACATTCAGATTGTCTCATCAAGATAATCACCCTGACAGTAAGAACTATTCGGCCCAAGGGAAATGATGGAAGCCCTGTGACTTGGGCATTTAAATCTTGGGCATTGGACAAAACACTACTAAATGGTACAACGGGAAGCAATCCTGCATTGGCATGGAGATGGACAAGATAACCCGGTCTTTTCCATCTCTAATGTCTGCACAGCTATGATTCAGCAAATGATAAGGCTACAGATAGGCAAGGGAACTTATCAAATGTGTTGCTAGAGACTGTAAAGCTACATAATCATGATATATACTTTCATTGCTACTGAGTTATGTGTTTAATCATAAAGCTATATATGTCTAATTATAATCCTAGACATCTTTATTCATTTTTAGCGCACTACTTTTATTCTGTGATTCCATGTGTTTCATGCAAACGTGTGTAATGAAATTGCATTAGCACTAGTTATACTTAGTACTAAAACTTTAGATTGTGGTGTTTGTGCTTACTTAAATGTTTGAAATTGAGAAAATAGTCTTAACATCAGTGCATCATTTTTTTTAAAAAGTTATACATTTGAATTATTAACTGTTAGTGAAAGACAATTAAAAAGAGTAACTTTGCACATAAGATTATTTTGTTACCTTAGATACTTCTCATAAGAAATGTAACTGATTTTTTTTTTCTGAATAGTGGCTGTTTTGATACATAGTTGATTTGATGCCCAGTTGGAAGATTAAATATATGAAAGCTTTCCTGTGCTGAGGCAGCAGTGGCTGTCTGTTGCAACTTGTTTCAAAAGACCCATAAAAGAGAACTGATCTTAGCTTGAAAAATAGAATCTTTCATAGATTCTGTGTGCTGTTTATGCATTTTTACATTCATTAACTCCTTTTAAATGCAAGCAATAGAGTGAAATTGGCAGCTTCCTCTAACTAAACTAGCACCTATTGTTTTAGGCACTACAAGTTAATTTTTAAATAAAAAGAAAACTTTTCAAATTAAAATGGTCTGACTGTGCATTTGGTGATGCAAGGTCAGATTTTTAAAGTTAAGCACACATAAACATTTGCATTTGTTCAACTTACATGCACAAATACCTGATGTGAATGCACATGCATAGTCAGTTAGAAACACAACTAGCCCACTGCATGCATAATTATCTGACTTGCATGCACATAATGTACAGTATCTGCATGTATAAGAAGCAAATAAATATTTGCATGTAATTGACTTTGAAAATGTGGCTTACGGTTTTTAATGTGAGAAACTCTATACAGCTGAATGAAAGATCACTGTTGTTTTTTTTTTTTGGTTCTGTCTGTTTTTATTTGAGCATATTTTTAGTTTATTAAACTTTCACTTTGGAACCTGCTAAAGCTAATAAATATTTAATATGGGCCTAATCCTGAGATCCCAACTCCACTTTTTCTCAGTCCTGTCCCAAACAAATACCCAATGAAATTAGAGTTTACCTAAGTAAACACAGGTTAAAGACCTGAGGACTTGGCCTTGTGAAAATGAGAAAATAATATGAAATATTATGAGAAAAGACCATGCAAGTAAATATTACAATGCACTTGATGGGGTTGAATGTTTTCCATTTCCAGCTCCTAGTGAAAAGCCTAGAAATGTGAATGTAAAAATCTTATCATCTTCTGAAATCTCCGTTTCCTGGGAGCATGTTTTTGAGCAATCTGTTGAAGGATATCAGGTGAGTTCAGAAGTGACACTTATAAATATCTTCACATTCATTTAAATACAGTAATTGATTATGCACAGGCAATACACACTGTCACATTCTAACTCTTAATGCTCAGCATTAATTTGCTGTACAAATTTGATTCTCTACCTATTAGATGTTTCATATAATGTATAATTTTTTGATACTAAAATGTAAGACTTTTGGTCAGATTCCCCTACTTGTGTAAGTTGAGATAGTTCCACAGAAATCTTCAGAACTCCATAGAAGAACTTTTCCAGTTTATACCAGTAGAGGATCTGGCCCATAAATGTCTCAAAATATGTTCAGAATAAGTTTGGGGTGTAAACATTCGCTGTACACTGTAATGTCTTTGTCAGTGCAGAAACAGACTTGTAAGTAACTAATGGGCCACTACATTATCAAATGATCAGGTATAGTAATTATTTTTGAAATATCCCCAACAGAATTTATAGTAACTTGGAAACAGATGCTGCACCCTGAATATAGTCAGTAGAAGATGCAGAATCCTGGGATTTTAATGTGCAGGGTGGAACAGGATTTGAGGGAGTCTGTCTGCATCTTCTGCTTGCCATCCAGCATTGGTGCACCCTAGCAAAAAGGAATGATTTGGGAGCAAGGTAGGGCTACTGGGTCCACAACAACTCAAATCCACCAGTGAAACCTTTTCTTACTCTCCTGAAAAAAAAAAAAAAGGCACAGCAGCTAGAGAGCTGCTGCGATCAAACAGATGTGGAAGTTGTCATGGAGCAGCCCAGCAGAGAGTGGGTTTCTTCCTGCATATACGCAGTAGCCACAGCATACAGTCCGTTTACGTCAGCGGTGCTCTGAGAAAACGATTTGGGTCTTGCTAAGTTAATGACTTGCTTTGCGATTTTAATTCTCCGACATATGATATTTACCTGTAAAAAGAGCATGTGCAAATGCAGAATAGCCTCATAGAATGCATCAATTAGAGGTGTCAGTTGCCCTGTGAATCCCAGTGGGGTGTTAATTCCAAGATCCACTGCTCTGGGGGGAGCTCATCAACATTGCCCCAGCAGAGGATTCTTTTTGTGTCCCAGCCTACCTACCCAAGCAGATGTACATCAGCTGTTGGGGTGAATCTGGGTGGCCTCTTCTGCTGCTCGTGATAGGAGAAGGGGGTATTATCCTACTGGGGAGGGGAGGAGGACCCTTTGTCACTGTCAGTAAAGGGTAGCAGTGGAGCTTCAGCATGGGGGCAGGACCACACGACAGAGCTACAGGGAGGTCTGTGTCCTGGACTGTCTTAATCCAAGCCTGGAAAGGGGTAAAGTTGTTTAAAAACTGGAATGCATACTCTTGGGTTTTATTTATTTATTTAATTGCATTATTGTCCATTTCTAACACAATTTATAAAAATACCTAGTTAAATCAGAATACTTTCTCCTTTTCATTTTAATCCTACACATTGCCTGAAAAAAAGCTCTCTCAGGACATAACTGGCAACATGTATTCGAGAGCGAAGAGTTGGAGATACTGAGAGAAAAGTAGTTGAAGGCATTTTACCTGTGATACTAGCCTTTTCACACCATGAGGAGTCAGGATTTCTTGACACTAATGCAGGCTCTCATGACTACTGCACTAGCAGTGATGAGTGTGAACTGATAAATTTTGCCATTACTGAGGTGTGTCCTCAGCTCACACCTAAATGAAAGATAAAATATGAACTATCTCCCTCCATACAGAGAATGTAAGATTTATGAGTGCTTGTCAAGTAATCTTGAAAAAAAGGGCTGCTCAGTACATGCAGTTCTAGTGGGTATATATATTTCCTGCTTCCTACATGTAGTAAATATATTGTTTGGCTTTTATTATACAGGTTTATGGTAATGAAACTGTTTTGTGGGGTTTTTTTTTAACTAGGTACTAAGTCTCCTCACTAATATCAATAAAGTAAATTAAATGAGTAAAATAAAATTGGATTTTGTAGCTTTAGTCATCTTTCTTGGAAGTGACATAGATAAATATGAAAGATTTGGTTGCAAATTCCATGATTCTAGTCCAGGGGTAGGCAACCTATGGCACGCATACCGAAGGCGGCACACGAGCTGATTTTCAGTGGCACTCACACTGCCCGGGTCCTGGCCACCGGTCCGGGGGGCTCTGCATTTTAATTTAATTTTAAATGACGCTTCTTAAACATTTAAAAAACCTTATTTATTTTACATACAACAATAGTTTAGTTATATATTATAGACTTATAGAAAGAGACCTTCTAAAAACGTTGAAATGTATTACTGGCACATGAAACCTTAAATTAGAGTGAATAAATGAAGACTCAGCACACCACTTCTGAAAGGTTGCCGACTCCTGGTCTAGTACTTAAGCTTTATTGCTGCTTTATTTTGTAGTATACATTGTGTTGTACAACTGGCCACCATAAAATGTTTGTTCTGTTATGATAAAGAATAGTTCTTTAACTTTTTTTCATGTCAAACTCTCACAAGGATCATACAGGACTTCTTTCTTGATCATTGTAATAATATCTCTCCCATGCTTACAAAGGGTTGGATTCTCTGCTGTGCAGTATCATCGGGGCACACCAGAGGCACGGGACCACAAGGGAGTTAAGGGTGTTTTCCTGAACCTAGGGATTTGCAGGCTGTGCTAATCTATGATTGCATGTGATGGCCCCCATTGGGCCAGAGATTATCAGACAACCCCCTCCTCAGTCTTGGCTCAACCCTTCCAGTGAGAGCTGAAGTTGGGTTGGCACAAAACTAGCAGTGCCTTCTGGGGATTCCCTCACCCTGGGGATTCCTACGTGGATAGTCCAGGACACCACAAAAAAGAAGGAACTGAGCCCAAAATTTGACCCAAAAACTTTAAATGAAAAAAATCAATTTGTGATGCAAATGTATTGAACAGACTGGGCAACTGAACAAGCTGGTGGCAATGAGGGATGTAATTTTGCATATTACTTTCATTGAACCAGAGTACAGGATGACCAGGGAAGAGGAAAAAGAGTAGCGATCAAGTGCTCCATAGACCTTTAAAGTATTTGAAGTATACTTCAAGAGACCCAGGGATTTTGTAAAGGTGGCAGTGTTAGTGTCTCAGCACTCAATGGAATAATTCATAGTTTCCAAAAATAATTATCATGACCCAGATATATAGTCACGTTTGCATCCTAAGTAGATAGGTAGAGAAAAGCTGTACAGACGTCTGAGTTGAATACATACAAATCACATTGTCACAGTGGTTAAATCTAAGTCATTTGAACCAAGATTCAATGTATTTGGGATTTAGGTTAATTTAATTTTTAAATGATCTTATTCCTGCAAGGGATTTAATTTTCATCTCAATGGAGTAGTTTAAAGTTTAATTCCTTTTTCTGACTCAAATTTTTTAACAGCTCTATATAACTTATTTTATTATCCACCTAGTTGTAAAGCATGTAGATGAATTGGAAGAATATAGAAAGTTTTATAACTAACAAACATTTGACCACCTACTACTTCACAAATGTCACTTTGCTGCAGACTCAGGCCCATTTGGAACTTTATGGCAGAAATGGAGAGAGTGCTCAGATCCCCTTGTTCCAATTGCACAGGCCCCAACTTAAGCCAAAGGAGAAATACCTCAAGCTGTTAATAGCATAGGGCACACAGTTGAGGAGTTGTGGTTCTATCCCAGGGGCGGGCAAACTTTTTGGCCTGAGGTTCGCATCGGGTTTTGTAAATTGTATGGAGGGCTGCTGGTTAGGGGAGGGGGTCGTGGCCCGGCCTCCACCTCCTGTCTGCCCCCCCCCCCCCGGGACTCCTGCCCCATCCAACCCCCCCTGTTCCCTGACGGCCCCTCTGGGACCCCTACCCAGCCACACACACCCGCTCCCAGTCCTCTGACCGCCCCCAGACCTCCGCCACCCCATCCAATCCCTCCTCTCATTCCTGACCCCTCCCTGGGACCCCTGCCCCATCCAACCACCCCTTCTCCCTGTCTCCTGACTGCCCCCGGAACCCCTGCCCCTGACTGCCCCCTGCCGCCCCATCCAACCCCCTCTCCTTCCTGACTGTCACCCCCGGGGCCCCTGCCCCCATTCAACTCCCTGTTCTCCCCCCGACTACTCCAACCCCTATCCACATCCCCACCCCCTGACCACCCCCCCCAAACTCCCCTGCCCTCTATCTAACCCCCCCGCTCCCTGCCCCCTTACTGCGCTGTCTGGAGCACCAGTGGCTGGTGGTGCTACAGCTGTGCCACCCGGCTGGAGCCGGGCCACGCCGCCGCCACCACGCAGCACAGAGCACCGGGTCAAGCCAGGTCAGGAGCTCACAGCCCCAGGGCCACCCACAGGGGGAGGGGGGGCAAGTGGGGCAATTTGCCCCGGGCCCTGCAGGGGCCCCGCGAGCCCTGGCCGAGAATCCCTTCCCTGGCTACTCACCCGGCGGTGGTCCGGGTCTTCGGCGGCATTTCGGCGGTGGGTCCTTCAGAGCTGCCGAAGACGCGGAGCGAGTGAAGGACTCGCTGCCGCCGCAGACTCAGAGCGCCGCCCGGTGAGTACAAGCGCCGTAGCGGGTGGCGCCTTTTTTTATGTCCGCTCCCCCGCTTTGCCCCAGGCCCCCTGAATCCTCTGGGCAGCCTTGCACAGCCCCACCGCCCAGAGCATTGCACCAGCGGCGGAGCGAGCGAGCTGAGGCTGCGGGGGAGGGGGGACAGCAGGGGAGAGGCTGGGGGCTAGCCTCCCGGGCCAGGAGCTCGGGGGCTGGGCAGGACGGTCCCGTGTGCTGGATGTGGCCCACGGGCCATAGTTTGCCCACCTCTGTTCTATCCAGTAGAAGGCAGAGGCCCATATACAACAATTCATTACAGTATTATGGAATCAAAATACTACTCTGAGACTAAGCAACTATTTAGAAAGATATTCGATTATCTATACCAGAGAGAATCTCTGAGAGATGCATATTGTTTCTCCACATTGTAATAATACCTCAGTAAGGAAAAAGCCTGGATATTTAAAAGATTGACATAGAAGTAATTTTAGTTCATATTTTAATAAAAATAAGACAATAATACAGTCTTGTCATTTCAAAGCCTAAACATGAACATTTTCTCTCCAGTGTTTAAGCACCACAAAAATCTGTTTTTTTCTGTAGAAGCATGGAAATATGTGAATACCTTGATGCCCTTTGCAAAGGATTCCTACGCCAAGAGCTCTGGCTTTGTCTAGGTAGAGTGCTGAAGTGACCTGGGTCTGAGTTGGGTTACTAAAGCTTCCAGCTTCTCCCGAATTCTCAGCCCTCCTTTTCATTGCTCGCTTCACAACACATGCTTCTCAGACAGGATCATCATAAAACTGAGCTTAAACTAATTCTGTTCTGTCAAATATCCAGCAAATGTTACCAGCAAGCATCATCACTAACCCCAGCCTTTCATCGACTTTAGTTCTTGCCTCCAAAGAACAGGGAACCTTATTGGGCCCAGTCAGTGAAACTGTTCTACAAATGTCATGCATAGATCTCCCAGATGGCAACACACAACATTTCCTCCAAGTCCTGATTTACTTCCCAAAAGAATGTATTGACATTGTGTGTATATTTCATCCTAAATGTATTTCAAGAAAATTCTAAGTGGTGGCTGCTACTGGACTAAATTTCCAAAACTTTGTGCAGCATGTTCATTTCTATAATCAGAAAAATACATGTGCTTGCATGCTGTAAACCATGTTTAAAGAGGGAGCCAATTTGGTCAGCGTATGCATGTGCAATTATATCTATATTGTGAAAGAGTTGGTAGAGCCATGATGGTAATCATATGTTTATAATGATCATAGTATGGACAGCTTGTATTATTGCTATTGACGGGCAAACTTATGTAAGCATTGACAATAGACTTTGATATGTAAATTAAATTAGGAAAGCCTCGGTTCAATTATTTTGGCTGCTAAAATGCCCCTCTAGGCATTTGAATTAGAAGGGAAACCCTTCTACTGTCTCATCACTCATTCAGCTACAGTGCATACTGGGGGTAGAAGAAAGTCATAGTTTTATTAAACGGTTTAACTTAAACACTTAAAAGAAACATCAAGCCTTGCCAAACAGCAAGTTATACCATAATTTGTGAGTGGGAGAGCGACAGCGGTAGGAGCTGGAGAAACAAGCCAACGCAACCTCTCCCAACACATTTTTGGAGTCTCCTTAAAGTGAAATATCTAGGGAACAAAACCAATGCCAGCTGAAAAGAAGACTAAGCCAAATGTGGCTTGACAGCAAAATAGGGGTGCTTATGTTATCAGAACATGCTACATCAGTTCTGTTTGAGGCCTCCTAGATTATAAAGCCAGAAAGGATGATTGTGACCTAGTCTGCCATATTGTATAACACAGGCCATGGGACTTCCCAGAATTAATTCCTGTTTGAACCAGAGCACAGCTTTTAGAAAAACTTCCTATCTTGATTTAAAAAATTCCAGGAATGCAAAATTCACCACAACTTCTGGGAAGTTGTTCCAGTGGTTAAGTACCCTCACTATTTAAAATGTGCACCTTATTTTTAATTTGAATTTGTCTAGTTTCAACTTCCAGCCATTGGATCTAGTTATACCTTTGTCTGCTAGATTGAAGACCCTCCAAGGAAAGGTTTACCTAAAGGATGAAATAGTTAAGTAATAACATTAACCTCTTTCTTAAAGGAAGGCTTAAAAGGGCTCCGTTGTAGTGTCCTCTAAAATAATTTAGAAGGAAGGTGGGAGCAGAGGAAAAATGCTCTGTGGAGGACGAGGTCCATAGCATTTTGTTTTTCACGTACTTTTAGTGAAAAACAAATGCTATGGACCTCGTCCTCCACAGCTTGTGCCTTGTGTAGTTGCTTACACCTGTGCAAACTGTGCTACCAATTGATACTGATAATGTTTTACTCTCATGTTGCACAGTTGTGAATGATTCTACAAGGCAGTGGTGAATCAGACCCTATGTAGTATCACCAAAAATCATTTCATAATGGCCAGGATTTGTAATAAGTGGGTACCTTATATTTCCTTCCTAAATATGTGTTTTGGTGCTTAAATAAATGACCGCCTAAGTTCAGAGGAAGCTGCTGGGCGATCAGCACTTTAGAAAATCAGGTCAACTTATTTAGTTGCCTACGTATCGACTCAGGAGGCTAGTCATAGGCATTCATTTTTGAAAATCACAGATAATGTATCTTTAATAGAGTCGTCCAGGCTATTTTGTGTAGATATGTATGAGACGAAAAATACGTTAGGATGTTTTTTAAAAGTACTGTTGCTAACACCGCTAACCACAACTTGTTTTGGCCCGCTAATAGCCTCGGGGAATACCTACAAAGAATAGGGGAGGAAAGGGGGAGCATCCCCTGAGAGGGGCACTAAAGAAACCATCGTAAGTAGATGGAGAACCAGGAGAGGGCAGTATCTTGCAAACTTAATGAGGATAGGGTGCTAAGTAGGAGAGGATGATTGACAGAATCAAAGAAGCTGGTAGGTCAAGGAGAATGAAGATGAAGTAGAGGCCCTGAGATGAAGAGGCCATTAGAGTAATTGGGAAGATGTGAGCGTATGCATATGTGTCCGAATTCTACTGAGAATTAGTAGAGTGGAAATATTGGAAGGGATCCAAGACAGAGCTCAAGGAGAGGAAGTGAGTGCATTGGTTTTAGACTGCACATTCATTGAGTTTACAGGTAAAAAGGAGAGGAAAGAGATTGGGTGGAAGAGGGTATAAATCCTGTTCCCTTTCTAATAAAAATGTCTGCCAACTCAGTGATGACCCAGTATTAAATCCCTGAGTTGCCTCCTGACATTGGCATTAATGGACGGTCTGAATATATTTCTCAAATGTGTAATTTAAGTTGATATTAAAAAAAGAGGGCAGAAGAGAATTTTGAGGGGAAGGAGAAGAGGAAAATAGGGAACCTATACAACGTAGGTTGTGGAGTGCTTGTCAGTGTTTTCCCCCATGGTCATATGTGGATTAATAGTGATTAATGGTATTTGGGGGGGAGAGTGAAATAAAAGATAATAATGCACAATATATTTAAAGAGAGGGGAAATTATAACAATTTATAAACTCTCTTAAACATTAAATATTATAGAAAAGTCACTGTTAAATATTAAGTTTAAAAACACGTACAATATTGCACACTTCTTTAGTCTAACAATTTAAGCTTTATTTCTTAGCTAAAGCACCTCCTAAAAGACAAGGGCAGATTAAAAAAAACAAGTAAGTTCTGATAACAAGTCAGTTTATTAAGTATGTGATAGTGCTTTGATGTCTAAGTTCAATGCATGTTCAGTCTGTTAAACACAGTTCCCAGAGGAATGAGCAGGAAATGGATATCAGGTTGGGTGTTGTAGATCCCTTTTGTTTTTTATACCTTGTTACTGTGCTGTCAAACTGCTTTGTCAATTGCTTATTATAACCTTTAAATCGTGGAAACAAAAATACTGGCTGAATGTGATAAAAGTTATAGTGGATAATAAATTTTAGTAAAAGTGTTTTGAGCAGCATCTTACATAAAGTAAGAAGGGTTTGTCCAGCTTGGTCTGGATAGGGCATACTGTATGTGGGGAATGAGAGCAGAATGAAAAATATGAATGAATTGCTTTTGTAGGGAATGTATTAGCTAGAATGCCATGAAGTAGGAAGTGGAGTGTACTGTACAACTTAGTCAAAGGTGTCTGCATTACAGAGTACATTGTGACCTAGAAAATGATATTAAAGTTGAGCATAAAATTTTCAAGTATAAAAGAGCAACAGCAAGATACCCCTGTTCTAGTAAGGCCCAATCCTGCACCCAATTAAGTCTATCTCAAAACTCCCATTGGATTAATCAGGTTCATTAGTGCAAAAGTTTCCACATCAAATCTGAAGTATTTTCTGTTTCTTGATATGATCCTATCACTTGGATTAATATAAGGAGCAATAATTAGCCAGAAACAGCCTTTATTGTTTTAGAATTATTCTGTCCTCCAGTCTAAAGTTTCTGTAACATTTCAATATCATTAATTACACCAAATTATCACTCAATCCAACTGTGTACAGATTCGTTACTGGACTGTTCATGATAAAGAAGCAGCTGCGCAGCGGGTGCTAGTGAGCAATCAGGACTACTCAACCAAACTGGAAAATTTGAAACCTAGTACCCGGTACCACGTAGATGTTTCCGCCTACAATAGTGCAGGGTATGGACCACCCAGTGCTGCTGTTGATATCATTACAAGAAAAGCACGTAAGTAAAGGAGCTCTGGATTTATTTCTAAAGTTCTGCACTTCGTTACTATTAGTTTGTACTTTGCATGTACTAATACTATAACTACTGGGTCTAACACCATACTGTGACAAAGTGGGAATGTTCTTAATGTTTTTTCTGAATACTGTGTGCCTGTGTCAGTTTTCCCGATGCATTACTCAAGTGTCTAGTGGTGGGATAAGGGTGTTTGATTGTTGCAGAGACCCCTAGAGGGCAGGTGTGACTGCTGACTGGGTTCAGAAAATGGCTGACACTATGTAGCCTGGCAACTGATGGCCGGGCCCCCCCTCTGCGAGAATGAGCCAGAGGTATTGGTGCTGACCAGGTGTCCTGCTTGCCCGGGAAAGAACCAAAGGACGGAGGAGGGGCAACAGGCGTGTCTCAGGCTGGGCTGCTGGAAGCTGGGCGGTCTCCTGGCTGGAGTCTCAGGGGGGAGGGTCAGTGCCTTGGAGCTCTGGGTTCCCCTCCCACCAAGATGGACTTTGCTGAAAGCTCTTGATTTCTGTGCTAACAAGGTCTGTTCTTTGCTGTGTTCCTGTCACCTAATAAACCCTTCTGTTTTACAATGCTGGCTGCGAGTCACTGCTGACTGCGAAGTTGGGGTGCCATGGCCTTTTGGAGGCATGTAACACTTCCCCAGGTGTCCCATCCAGGTGGACTTGCTGCGGGGAGCTCATGGTGTGAACAGGCATGCTGGACTCTGAGGGCAAACCTAGGAAGCGCCGAAGCTGAGCAGGCTTCTTGCCCTGGTGACAGCGTGCCCTGAGGGGAGATACACTGCATCAGAGTCCTGCTTGACTTCATTCAGAGTTGTTCCAGAGCACCGAGACTGTGACTCTGTGACACATACACACAGAGTTTTCCCAGGGGGCTAAATTGTGGCACTAACACAAGCCCCTTGTATGGGGCAGCAAGTAGTTGTGGAGGTGTGTCTCTGAAGAGGCTAATCTCCACTCATCGCTGCCATTTCAACTTGGAAATCTGGCACCGTGGAGTAAGGGACATCTCTGCAGACAGGCAGGGCAGGCCAGGATCTGGTCCAAAAGGAATGTAGGCTTGGGTCTATAGGTTATAGCCCCAAGCGAAAATTTTCACAGAACTTGTGGCACTTCAGTGTTTTGCTCCCTAGCTGGAGACACCTTAAAGGGGGCTGATTTTCAGAATGTGCTGAGCACTCACCCTTTGAAAATCAGGCCTCTTTAAAGTGGCTCAGTTTGGGCACCCAGAATCACTAGTCACTTTTGAAATCCTGTATGCGACAGAATTAAATAATTAAATAATAATGAAGCTATGAGTGATATTGAATTAAGGACTGTGTTATAAATGTGCTTGGATGGCCTAAAAAATGTATGAGAGTAACATGTGCTTTGTCAATAAGGTAAGCAGTATACTATCTGACTCAGACCTGCAGGGAGCATATGTTTGGATAAGAAGATTCCATTTTACATGGCTACTATTCTAACTATAATTACACTTTGTGCAGGAAGGCACTCTGATTACCACACAGATAAATGCTATAGAGATGCTTTTATATAATTTTTTAAAGATTTAAATTCAGTGAATAAGTATAATTAAGCTAAATTCTGGGAGGTTCTGGACATAGATGCCTGCAAGGAAACACAAGCCCAGTTCCACAGAAAGGGATAGAAATTGGCCCCGTCTGTTCTGGCAACACACAAATGCCAAACCCACAGGAGCCCATTGCACAAGCCATGCAAAAATGCATAGCTGGAGCCATAGAACTGCATTCCAGGAAAGAGACTGGCCCACATTCACAGAAAGGCCAGCCATAATCTTCCTTTTTAGAAGGCTCATTCAAATGTAAATGAAGGTTTGTGAAGCATCATTGTTTCTGCACACAAAATTGTATGTTTATTTTTCAGCTCCAAGCCAACGTCCCAGAATTATCAGTACAGTCAGGTCTGGTTCAAGGTACATCATCACCTGGGACCATGTGACGCCAATGTCAAATGAATCTGCTGTTCAAGGATACAAAGTATGATCTATAAAAATAGTTTCTATCTTTCATATCCTGCACACAGTATATCTTATTGTCAATATTGCTACCTACTCTGGCTCTAATGTGCTTGCATCCTTAGTTTAGACCATGGGTTCACAATCTAGAGGTCACAACTCCCCTGTCACAATCTAGAGGTCACAACTCCCCCAATGGTTTTGGAGGAGGGTTATGGCCACCCTTCTTTTTTATGGTGAGATGGGAGGGAGGCTAAAATGTTATGTTATAACGTGGGTCAAAGTATGGAAAAGGCTGAGAATCACCACTTTAGACATACAACAGAATTGATTGCTCCCACAGTGACATGTCTCCCACAGCATACGTTCAACAAATTATACTCTTTTATATTTTTTCCCCTTTTCCCAGCATGAATTACTTCCAGCCTATTGTTCTCATCCTCCCTCTGAGAATTACAACCTCCAGAATACCTGGACTTATAGATCAAAGACACTAATAGAACCAGTCTATCTAAAGCTGTCCTTAAAGGAACAGCACATCATGGTACATGCAATTACAATGCAAGCATATCTGTAAATTATAGGAAGATGGTTAATTATAGCTATCAATATGCTGAAACCATTAAAAACGGGCTATTTAGTGTTGTTGTTTACTTGGCAGTAATATAGCTAGAGTGCTACACAAGTTTTTGTTTGATGGATTGAGTTACTTCCTGTGAATCATTGATAATGAGCAGAGATCTTTTCCATATGTCTCATAAGTCACATGCTAACTTCACACTTAATTTGCCAGCTCTGAAACATATTAATAAAAAGAAAAATTGTGCTACTTGCTGAGGCATTGTTAAATCATTTATGCTCTAGTATATGGTAAGATGTATGGTATGTTTTTGTTTTGTTTGCTGAGCTTGAAAGTATTATCCTCAATCATTCTTAACTTGAACCCATATGGAAAATTTATCTATCAAGGAGATGGTATTGTTTTGCCATTTGTTAGAAATAAAAGAGGAAATATCTGCTCTCTCCAAGCTCCTTTACATTATAGCAAGCTGCAAAGCAATATATTTTATTTAGTTTTGATCTAAAATTAAACATGTACATGTAAAATTAGCACTTGTTAATTAAACTTGTTAATCAAAACTGGAAGGTTGTAACTGTGGTATCAGCTGCAACATGACATTTCAATAACTGTACTTGTTTATGGCTTTGCAAGGTGCTGTATAGACCAGATGGCCAACATGAGGGCACATTGTATTCAACTGGCACTCATTCAATAGAGTTGCCAGTCCCCAGAGATGGTGAATATATTGTTGAGGTTCGAGCGCACAGTGAAGGAGGAGATGGAGAAGTAGCTCAAATAAAAATTTCAGGTAGGCATTTTTTTTCATATTGGGAATATATGGCTAGATGAATTCATAGACCAGCAAATGCATGCCATTCCTGACGAAAAGAACATGGGGTAAAACTCTGTCTCTTTATCTCTCTGTGTCTTTCTGTCTCTCCAATCTTTGTATATCTGGGGTACCGATTACCATAGTACGGGGTAGGCAACCTATGGCACGCGTGCTGAAGGCGGCACGCGAGCTGATTTTCAGTGGCACTCACGCTGCCCAGATCCTGGCCACCGGTCTGGTGGCCTCTGCATTTGAATTTAATTGAAGCTTCTTAAACATTTTAAAAACCGTATTTACTTTACATACAACAATAGTTTAGTTATATATTATAGACTTATAGAAAGAGAGCTTCTAAAAATGTTAAAATGTATTACTGGCACGCAAAACCTTAAATTAGAGTGAATAAATGAAGACTTGGCACACCACTTCTGAAAGGTTGCCGACCCCTTCCATAGTATGTAGTAAATGCTATTTCAGAATAAGCATAAATGTCATGAAATTGGATGCTGGTGCTGCCATCTTAAGGTCCAGACACTTACATTTGATTCTTGGTTATTTTTTTAAAACTTAAGGAGGAGAATGGTGACGACTGTGAGCTTTATGCCTACCCCTTGGCGCACACCCTGTGTAGCCATTGGTACTACTTTGCAGCAACAGCATTATAAAGGCCATCCAAAAAGGGAGCGCTAGGGAGTCTTCATAGAGTTTTACAGATTAAGGTGAGAAGGGACCATTAGATCATCTAGTCTGACCTCCTGTATATCACAGGTCATTAAATTTCACCCAATTACTCCTATAACTGAGCCCAACAATGTGTGTTTAACTGAAGTGTATCGCCCAGAAACAGGGCCGGCTCTAGGCACCAGCAAAACAAGCTGGTGCTTGGGGCGGCACATTTTTAGGGGCGGCATGGCCGGCGCCAGAATGCCGCCCCTGCCGCCCCTAAAAATGTGTCCCGGCCGCCCTAGCTCACCTCCGCTGCTGCCGCTTGCACGCCACGGCGCGCAAAACAGCCGATTCGCGCGCCGCTGCTCACCCTCCCTCCCAGGCTCTCAAACCTGGGAGGGAGGGGGAGATCCCGAGCGGCCGCGGCATGCGAAACAGCTGATTCGTGCGCCGCTGCTCCCCCTCCCTCCCAGGTTTGAGAGCCTGGGAGGGAGGGAGAGACTCCGAGTGGCCGTGGCACGCGCGCCGCTTCTCCCCCTCCCTCCTAGGCTTGAGAGCCTGGGGGGAGGAGGCAGGGCTGGGGATTTGGGAAAGGGGCGGAGTTGAGGTGGGGCCGGGGGTGGGGTAAGAAAAAAATGGGGGGGCAGCCAAAATTGTTTTTGCTTGGGGCGGCAAAAATCCTAGAGCCAGCCCTGCCCAGAAAAGCATTCAGACTTCATCTGAAGACATTAAGAGATGGAGCACCCACCGCTTCCTTTGGTAGTTTGGGTCATTGTTTAATCAGTGTTAAAATTTTGTATCTAATTTGAATTTGTCTTGCTTCATGCTCCAGTCATTGTTTCTTGTTATGTCTTTCTCCCCTACATTAAAAAAGCTTTTATTACCCAGTGTTTTCTTCCCATTGTTATTTGTACTCTGGAATCAAGTCAATTTTTTTTTTGATAAACTGAACAGATTGAGCTCTCTAATTCTCTCCAGTAAGATTTTTCTTCAGCCCTAGTATCATTTTCCTGTCTCTTTTCTGCACCCTCTCCAGTTTTTCAACATCCTTATTAAAAATGTGGACACCATAACTGTATGCAGTAGTCCAGCATGAGTTTCAACAGAGTGGTATAGAGGTAAATCACCTCCCTACTCTTACTACACCCCTGCTTATACATTCAAGGATCTCATTAGTCCCATTTGTCACACTGGGAGCAAATGTTCATCTGCTTGTCCAGTGTGACCCCTAAATCCTATTTAGAGTTGTGCTCTGTCCCCTAAATGCTTTCCAGGATACATGCCCCCATTCTGTAGGTGTGACCTGCACTCCTTGTTCCTAGATGTATGACTTTCTAACTGGGTATATTAAAACACATTTTTCTTTGAATGGGCCTATCCTCCCAAGCGACTCAGTTTGCTCTACTGTCCTAGTCATTGTTTACCACTCCACCAATCTTTGTGTTATCTGTAAATGTTATCACCAAGTGATTTTATATTTACTTCCAGATCATTGGTGAACATATTGAATAGTATCAGGCTTAGTACCAATGCCTGTGAAGCCCCCTCGAGAAACTTACCCATTCGATGATGATTCCTCATTGACAACTGTTTTTTGGCATATTGGTCAGCCAGCCAGTTTTTAATCCATGTACTGTATGGTAATTTCAAAATCAGCATGTTATGCAGTATTAAGTCAAAAAAATTTGTATTATTACATTTTGTATATTACAGAAATCTAACTATGTTACATTACCTAATGTTCTAGCACCCTTCAGCAGCTACTTTTGACCTGTCTTACAGATAGCTGTGCAGGTGAATACTACTCCATGCAGTATTAGCCGCTCAGTTTCTGACTTTCATCACCCTCAGATAGGGAGGAACTATGCAGAGAGAGAGAATGGCAACATGACTGTGACTGGACCATGCGCATGGCAGTGGGGGAGACTGAAAAAAAGGCATGAGGCTGGGCACTCTCCATTGCCATCTTAGTATATGGACCACAGGGCCAGCATTTCTTGCAGATTTATGGCTCAGTCCCTGCCTCTTCCCAAAGAGAGCAGAATGCACTGCTGTTTCCATATCCACAACCTGGCAAACTTTTAGCAGGGAGGTTACTGGTGGCTGTGTGACAGGGTGGTAGCATGCTCCCTATCAGCTCTTTCCTTTCTGGTAGTCCTCTCAGAAACATAGTGCTGGGAATAATGCATGTCCAGTCTGTGTACCACAGTGGAGCTTCTAACTCTTAAACAGTGAGATGTACATAATAAGCAATGCAACTGTAAACAAAAATGTTGCTCTATTGGAAGAATGACTTCTTAACGGGGTCCATCTGGCTACTGAGAATAGCTGCTTTGCTAAAGTGAAATGGGAGCAAAAAAAGGTAAGTTATAGCACACTTATTTCTGCAGTTAATTTAGTTATTAAAAGCACAACAACATATATATATATATTTGGCTTCCAAACACAACATTTGCAAATCAAAATCCTATATGTATAAAAATGTGGAAATACATATTCTTTCTATTCCACCCCCTTCCTCCTCGTTTTCTCTCTCTTCTCTTTATACTCTGTTTTTTTAAGCAGATTCCAGTTTGAAAGATGTACTGTTTTAGCAGGGCCGGCCCACAACATTTTGGCACCTGAGGCGGGGAGCTCAAATGTTGCCCCCTCGCTTGGGCCAAAACTTTGAAAGGTCTCAATTCTGCCTTCTTCCTGTTCTACTCCTCTCATGGTACTGCTCTGCTACCTACCCCAATAAAGGAGAACTAACAACTTAAAATGCCGTGTTCAAAAATGTTAAGTAACACTTACATTTGCTGTTCAGGCGCTTGAAAGTTAACTTTTCTTGTCTGCATAGTAAACACTGGCATTTTTATCTGTTTGAATAATCAAAGTGGTGCTTTCCGTGCCTTCTTGGTTGCAAAGATTTGAACTGCTTCCTGCTGAAGGTCCACAGTCTGGGACAGCTCATGCTCTACTGAGATGGTTGCAAGGCCGACCAGCCTCTCCTGTGTCATTGTGGAGCGTAGATGTGTTTTTATTAACTTCAGCTTGGAGAAGCTTCGTTCTCCATTGGCAACTGTTACAGGAAGTGTTAGAAGTATGCTCAGAGCAACAAAAGCATTTGGAAAGAAGGTGGTCATCTTATTAGTGTACATATATTCCAGAACAGCCTTTGGAGTTGATCCTGCTGAAATGTATCTCGAAAGGGTTTTCAGTTCATCACCTAAATCACTCGCATCAACATCGCGCATGTCATCATGTGTCATCACTGTCTCTAGTGTCCTGCATTGCTGGTGTAGATCTTCTTCAGGTATAGTGAGGAGTTTTGGATATCATACAACATCCCAACTATACTGCTGTGTTCCTTGAGCTGCATGAAACGTTCTTCAACTGATTGTATTGCACAATCTAGCACCTGGTTAAAGAATTCAACTTTGAATTGTTGTTTGGAGTCTCTTCTGGGATTATCCCGTGCCTCGTAATCAAAATGTCGTCTTCTTCGGTGACTCTTGTATTCTTGAATGGGTGGGAAAATAGCTTCAGTGTGAAGTTCCTCTGCCAGCTTCTGTGCACTCTTCAGAACATTTTGAAATCCCTCATCTGACCGGTAAGACTTTGCTTTGTCCAGTTGTTCCATTGCTCCAGATATATCAAGGTCAACATCTTGGAGTCTCTTGCTTACAACATTTATTTCAAACAGTATGTCATGCCACAACACTAAGCCACACAGAAATTTGAAGTTATGTATGTTTCTGGTGATTCCATTTCTCTCTGCCACTGTTCTCCCACGAACAGTTCCTGTCATAGCATTATCCTCCATAATGGCAACTATGGCATCATCTATCTTCTCAATTTGGGTTTGATAAGCTTTATAGCCTCCACTTGACTTTCCCATCGTGTGGCACTCAGTGGTTTCAGTGTCAGAGAGGATGTTGCCAGATGTTGCTTCAAAATTTTCCATCTATGAGTTGATGCAGAGAAAAATACATAGATGCTTTGAATTACATTAAAAAATTCAGCAGCCTCACTAGAAGCTGATGCTAGAATCACTGACCACCAAGTTCAATGAATGAGAACTGCATGGGACAAAAAAAGCTTGAGGGTTTAACTCTCGGATCCATGTCTGCACTCCTCTGTTCTTTCCTCTCATGTTGGCACCATTATTGTAGATGACCTCTCATGTCAGCTATTGCAATTCCCGTATCTTCCAACTTTTTAAGAAGCATATTTATCGTACCAGCTCCTGTAGTATCATCAATGTCAATAAATTCTAGAAAATGCTCTCTGACAGTCACCATTGCAGGGACATTTTCACTAGGTTCTGT